GCAAAACCTCTGCTGATCTTAAAGGCTCATCAGCTGAACAAGTTTGGCCTCTCCTGGCCGATTTCTGCAACATACACAAGTGGTTCCCCGATATAGCCACGTGTTACCAAATGGATGGCGTCCCTGGCCAACCGGGTCTGATCCGGTACTGCGCCCGTGCTCCCATTGATAATGATGAGTCCACCATCAAGTGGGCCAAAGAGAAGCTACTGTCCCTTGATCCAATCCAACGGTGTTTGAGCTATGAGATTATTGAGAGCAATCTCGGGTTTAAGTCGTATGTTGCGGTAATGCAAGTAGTCCCCATCAACAGCGGAGATGGCAGCATTGGGTGCAAGATCGAGTGGTCGTTTGTTTGCGATCCGATTGAAGGGTGGGCACTGAATGATTTTCGTTCATACCTTCACTCTTCTCTTCAATTGATGGCAGAGAAGATCATGGAGCATACTCATCTATCTACCACTGGGTAACCCTAATTGTTGTGTTGGTGTGTTTATGGCTTAGTTTGGTATTGCTGTGAAAAACTTATTCCGGTGTGCTGCAAGAATAAATAGCTGCGAAATAAAGCAGCAACGTGTTTGATAATCTATATTTGTAAAAGTGCTGTGATTATAAAAAGCAATGTTAAAGCAGCAACACAGCAACGTGTTTAATAATCTGTATTGGCAAACTTTCTTGTAAAAGTGCTGTGATTGTGTATAATGACAAAAAGGGTATGATAAAAAAATAGTATTTATTTATGATTTTTTTTTCAGCCAAGATGAACATTGATCTATAATATACAACCAGAATGATCACAAGCCACCGTGTAAATTGAATTCGTCTATTAAATACAGATTTTGACGATGACAAGCAAACCACAAATACGTAAATAACTTCAAAATCTAAATGTAATATATGGCCTAACTGCTTCAAAAATGTGGATCTCCCTCCACACACATGGGTAAATTTTCAAATGGTTTTTTTTTTTTTTTTTTTTTGGTCCTGATGGAATGGGGGTGGGTGTGTTGGAAAAAATGGCTCACATTAAGTATGCAAGTGAAGGAGGAAGCGACCAGTCTCTGGGTATTGGCGACCGGTCGTTTTGAAGCAGATTCGAGGTCTGTAAAAGAGCTAGAAAATCGTGACCAGCGACCGGTCGCAGGGTGCAAGAGACCGGTCCCCTGCAGGCAGATTGTAAAGCGACTGGTCGCCAGTAACGAGCGACCGGTCGCCAGTAACGGGCGATCGGTCGCCAGTGATGCTGTGCTGTTTTCTTCCACGCGTTTTTCAAGAGGTCTTCACATGTGTTGGTTCCCTACCTAATCCCTCGAGTCTCTAAGGTGTGTTATGGGTTCTAGGAAGTCTACCAAGGTGCTGGAAAAGCTGGAGCACCATTGAATGAGGATTGTTGACTTGTTTCAAAGAGTACCTACCCTATAGCTCTAGATAGGGTGGCTGAAGTTGCAGCTATCAATGCCTAGCCTTTGTTCTGCCCAAGTTGTGGTCCAAGTCTGGAAACCAAGGGGAGAACGTGGGAGGAAAAGATGGAGCCTTCTCCTAAGTCCAAAGGCTTGTGTATTAAAGGGAAGAGGAAGCAAGACAGCAATAGTGTGGTTTTACTTCTCAAGGAGTGGACAAGTAGCTGGGAGCTAGTGTGTCCAAGAGAGGTAGAGAGAAAAGAGAGCTTGGGAGATAATAGAGTTCTAAGGGGGTTTCTTTGTAAACCAAAGTTGTAACTTATTCTTTCATTAGTGAATTTCTCAAGGGGATCACCAAGAGGATATAGGCAATTACTGAACCTCTATAAATTCTTGTGTCACTTTGTGCTTGGTTGGTTTCTCAAGTGTGTGTGTGTGATTCATCCATCCTTGTGTGTGTCACAAAGTCCATCAACAACAAGATCATTAGGGGAGTGAGTGAAAGTGTTTGTCCAATTTTCACAACAGGGTGAAGAATTATGTGACGTTAACATCATCTTCCACGCCAACCCTCAATCTCTTCTCCATCCAATTTATTATATCCTGTGCAATCTCTTCACGTTCCGGCTCGAAGAGAAGGTCGTGTAAGAAACCATCATAGAGCTTTATATCTTTGAACTCTGATGCTGCCTCATTATAGAGATCTTGGGAGGCTAGTGGATCAGTGACTCTATCAGCAGTTCCGTGCAGAACAAAGAAGGGTACGCTCACAAACTTAAAGTTCCGTGTCAAATGAGTGGAGATTCGCAATATCTCATAGCCTGTTCGGACCCTTATCGGGCCAGTATAGACCAGGGGATCGGAATACTTGGCCACCAATGCTGCAGGATCCCTTGAGACTGGAATACCCCTCTTGTTTGCACCTTTAAACTGGAACTTGGGAGCAACCAAAGAGACAATTGGAGCCACAGCCTAGATTACAACATCAGAGAAAAGTTTGTAATATGTAACCATGAATCAATGGTGGAAATTCAATCAAACATCATATGACACTTATGAACAACCCTAACCAGAACATAAGTTAGTTAATTGATATGAGTTTAACACATCTTAAAGGAGTTCTTGGGGAAGATAAAATTGCCTAAAAGATGAAGCATCAATATACATTGCCTGTGAGCCAGTAAAGAACATACTGATCGGTGCATATTTACATATCATTTTGTACCCTTCTAGCTTATGATTTGGTTATGTTTTTGAGTTAAACTTGTGCTTTTAATCCTTTTTGTGTTTATCTTTCAGTTCATTGAGCTTTAGGTAATAATGAGGGCTTTGGATAGTAAATGATGCAATCCATGCATGTTAGGGCCTAATTTGGATGAATGGATGAAGAGCTTAAAGACAAACTCAATTTTGGCTACAGTCCCCTGCCAGCCCAGTTTCGTAGGTCATATTGCAAGCTTTGTTTCAGCAACCTACATAGCTCGGATGAGGCCACATTCTTCATGAAAGTTGTTCCAATGGGTGTGTAATATAACATATCCAAAATTCAGCCCCATTGGATAAATATGGAGTCTGTTAACTAGCAAACACAGAGCCATGCTCAGGATGGATTTTATCAGCGCGCAAAATGAGTTAGCAATTTGTTTTGGCCTTAACTTCCTCCGACGACCTTGGATTGGCCCAAATGATATGTGGCTGGAAAGAAGACATTCTGAACTTCAAGTTTGAGTGCTTAAAGTCTTAATTTGCTTAAGGGAAGCCCAATTCGTAAGCCCTTGAAGTTGCTGGTCATGCTGACCTCAGGATGAGCTATTATTTCTGGTTGGAAGCTTGGTCATGGTGACATGAAGATGAGCTAGGGCTGCTGGTGGGATCTATTGGTGAAGGGCATCAACCAATTCA